TATATATATATATATATATATATATATATATATATATATATATATATATATATATATATATATTGCACATAGCGATAACTTTTAATGGGATGTATGCTGAAACATGTTAACATGTCAAAGATATTTTTATTCTCAGTTCGCACATACACAGCGCAGTCTTCTAAACAACATATATGGTATATACATATATATTTATATCGTATAAGACATCTACATTGTGTAGAGAGAGAGAGGTCATTGTTCCCAATCGCTTTAACAAAGAAATTAACGTGATTAACGTGCGTCTTAAACTTCTCAATATCTCATTAAATATAGAAGTGATAATTTGTTTCTCGCTTATTTTAATTTGCTTAGCATTCGAATCTTTTAAATTGTAGTGTTAAAATTCTTTTTTGTAGATCTTTCAAATCTAACCTTTTTACCCCCATCTCTTTTGTCGCATACGTGTCTCATTTTAGGTATCTATCGTTGTGCTTCCATTTAAGATTCTTGGTTCCTCACCGCGGATCTTTCAATTGATGACGTCAGAAGAAAATAATTTTTTGCAAAGTATGTTAGAATAAAAAGATGTATTCATAAAATGACACAATCGATTGAGCAGATTTGTAAAATAGTTCGAAAACTTTTCTTTTGCTCTAACAATCAATAAATTACAGTAAAATTAACGTGCAAGTTTTAACTCTTTTAATCTATCTTATTTTTCCTCATAAATTTGGCAAGTTAATTGTACGGTTATCTATGGATTGTTACAAACAATAGAACAAAAGAAAAGTGTTAGAAGTATTTTATAAATCTTTTTGATCGACTGTAAATGTCATTTTGTGAGTATATCTTTTTATTCTAACATATTTTGTCAGAATCTTGACAAAATATATATGAATCTTGTGTACTTTTTTGCTTCTGATATCATAAATCAAGATAACAACGCGACAAGTAGCCATGAATCTTAACACTGTTAGAAAAAACTTTGTTCTTATTTCTAGTTAATAATTTATCCTAAATGTTTGATGTTTAGCGAAAGCGAAGTAAAAAATATTATTTTCCGAAGAAACGACGTATGATGTATATACTGATGTATATATTGAACTTACATGTTTATATTGAAACGATTTATTTATACTATTTTATTTCGAAGATGTACTTATCTAATTTTCTAACGAGAGCTCGTGATCGGTCTCCCTCTAATCCAGAGTAACGAAAAGTTTGTTAAAGTAAACTTCACCGCTCGAGTTAATTCGACATTAAAGTGGACGTCTCGATTATTCATTATTTTCTTTCTTCAAGTATAACAAACCCCTGTTTTTCTGTTATTGGTCGAAGATTGTTGAACCTTGGATAGTAATTCTTTAAATGCACATTTCCTGATATATTAATTAAGCGTGCACCCCCCGCTGGGATTCGAGAGACATTATAGGATAAGATAAAGTTATTTTCGATTTATATCTATTTTTCGGATCATGTACGGATGGAGTTTCAACACTCCAGTCACTATATACAAACAAACTATGACATACAAACAAACAAGTTTCTTGAAGATTAATAAAATAAAATTTTTCTATTGGATGCGTTACGAAATTTATCGAGGAAATATGTTATAATCTTCAATCAGCTGACTGTACAAGGGTTATATAAGTTTATCAAAATGATCAAATCGAACATCGAACGGTGAGTATATGAAAATCTATTACAGGATACGTTCCGAAATCTATTTCGGAAACTGCGGTTCGAGTTATAAGGTCGGTAGACTTTAAATTAACTTGGATACGTTCCGTAATAGATCAGCTAATTCACGCTGTCCACTTTACCATCGGAGAATTCACAGCTGTTATAATTAGTAGAAAACAATTTCATATACAGGAATAGTTTTGTGAAACTAATCGCGTGAGCGTTCGTCGGAACGTACCTACGTTAGATTACGACCTACCAACCTTATCATTAAAAAAGTTTTCGAAACCGTTTTTAGAACGTATACAGAATTTTGAAAGTTCCATTTCGAAGCAAACACGGCAGCCTTGACGGAAGGTTAATAGAAAAGCTATTAAAAGGGTAAATCACTATACATTAGGCAGATATATAGAAAAACACACAAGAAAATTACACAAGTCCTTACTGTTCCAAGGGGAGAGAATATAAAAACTTCGCTTTAAGCGTCTCGAAAGGACACGAATGAGATGGATACCCGGCGAATTTCGTTTTCTTCTTCGGAAAAATAAACTTTTGTATCGTCAAAGACGATAAAGTTCCATTCCCTCGAGTCGTGGATGTGCCGTTTCAAGAAAAAAAAACTAAGTAGATAATTATGATACATCAGAGACATATTTTTACTGAGTCAATGAAGTGAATGAAAGTGTCGGGGTCGGTTGGAGTTCAGGGCGCATTTGTTAAAGCAGCCTTCCACGTCGCAGACAAGGCTCGGTCGCAACGTGGTCTTGCCGATCTAAGACGTACTAGGCTCTGGACTCGCGTCGATGAAGTCGATGTCCGAGGACGTCGTGGCGCTCGCACGGCGACCTTGCCTCGGCGACGCGCTTATGCGTGCTTTGACGCTCGTCGTCGAGACACTCAGTCGGTTTCCGGTTCGCTGGGCCGGCAGATGCTGCTGCTTTGTTCTGTAATCAGAGGATCGACACGGTATCGAACGAGCGCTCGGAAAGACGCTTCTTCAACGGAAAATTAATGTACCGAGGTCTCAAGCTGGGAATTCAAGATCGTCACAGGCGCGGAAAGCCGTAAAAACTAAGAAAGTCGAGGACAATCGGGGAATTTTACGGGGGAAGTATCAAAGATCTTTGCTGGCTTATTATCGGCTAGTTACGAGCGAGATGGAGAATTATTCCTATCTTGTAATATAAGTGAAGAGCATCACGTTATACGTGGACTGTTATATATTGTAACAGACGGTTTTACTTCTCGCAGATGATATCACATACACGCAACAAGCAACAATGTTATAGTGATAATTTTTATTAATAAGAAAAATCTTTTGTGTAAGAATAGAGAAAAATAACAGCAGAGACAGTTTCTATGTGGTGGACATGTGTCTCTATGTGTTGTACTGTACTCACAAATAAAATACAAATTATATTAAATTATATATATATATATATATAATTTGTATTGACTTTTGTTTAACCCTTTAAGGCGCATAATTCATGGAACATTTTAGTAACTTTTTTTTAATGAAATATTATCAAAAACATTCTAAATAGTACTATAGTAGCATTTATAAGGTTTCAGCTGTCCAATCCTAAATAGTCCCTATTGGTACCAGTGATACTTAAAGGGTTAATCGGTGTTATCAATAATATTTTCGTGGAACTTCACGAACGTACTACTACATACATACTTGAGTCTTTCTTCGGCACCCTTCATGGCAGTGTTCAGTTCTTCCTCCCATTGTTTCTCCTTCTTCTCTCTTTCCTGTCTCTCGATTTCGCGCTCGCGATTGTACACTCGGTACTCTGGGATAAAAGCTAATCTTCGCGCCTCTGCGCTCGGTCCGGCGCCCTCCACGAATAAGCCTGCATCCTCCGCTGAGAGTTCAACCCTTAATGATCTGCAAACAAGACCGTGTCAATGAGATATTTGCCACGAGATTCGCCGCGGAATTCGACAGAGGAAGCTAACCTCTGTTTAGCCAGGCGTTTCTTTTTCTTGTGCAGAGGCTTTGTCTCGATTATCATTTCCTCGAGCTCAAAGGTGGGGTCGCAATTCAGGTGATCTTTTGGTGGGATGAACCGCGGTTTGATCTGCTTATTTAGCACCTTATCGAAGTCTAACGCTTTCATCGCGCTCGCCCGTTTCAGTTCCTTCAAAGACGACACTCGAGCACCCGGCGCCAGGGTTAGTAGTCGATCCAGGAGATGACGCATCGACGAGCTCCAGTGAGATGGTTTTGGTCTTTGTTCCTGAAAAGCCGAGTTTTTCGATGCGCTATCCCCAACATAATAGTTGAACGCGGCTTTGTCGCCATATGACTGTAGTCTGACATTAACATACCCTTATAGAAATATCATACTAAGAATCATTGATAATTACTTATTATCCAGTATTTTTAATACTGAAAATAAGTAATTATCAATGATTCTTAGTATGATATTTTTATAAGGGTATACTTCAAACTTTAAAGCTTGAATTTTATAAAGTATGTGCTACCGAATGCCATTATCATCTGTGAGCTATCGTCAATATCTAACTCTAATACTGAACAAAGCAAATGAGCAAATTCACAGTTTAATCATAATTCTCGACTGAACAGGACAGTAAACAATAAAAAATGAAACGTACTTTCTTTTCTAATGTAATTATAAAAATCTATAACTGTAATAAATATAAATATAAATATAAATGTACTGTATAAATATAAATATCTAAAAGTAGTTTAAATAGGACGTTTTTAAGATGTCTTAAATCGGGATGTAAGGCTTCTTTCCATCAAGGGTGTATCATATTCGCAAATAATAATTACTAGTTATTATGCCACACTAGTGCTAGTTGTTTAACTTTCTTAGAAAAAAGTAAAAGAGTATAACTAAGAGAAGAATTTTACGTCGTGAGATCGACAATTGATCTTTCATTTCGTAAAAATTCATGCATCACACTCTACATTGAATCGTTGAAAGGTAATTTGTCAAACTTAAAAGCCACACGAGCTCAATTTGTCTCAACATGAAAGATGCTTGACTTAAATCGCTTCTGGAACCACGAACGTGATTTTGCTAAAGTCTCGTGTGTCAGACTCATTCATGGTACTGGGAGATATTTTTCCCATATTCCCATATTCATATTTTTGCGGGCTCGTTTAGCAGAAATGTCATTTCAAGCTAAGATTAATGTAATTTAAGCATAACTAAGGCGTTTGCATTATACAAATCGCGGTAGGACGCGAAGCCAACAGAATGTTACAGAATGCTGTCGCACGTGTCGCGCCAATAACACCTTCATGACAAGTTCTCGATTAACGGGACAGCCGAGACATGACGCGTCCTTAATTAACAGGACAACACGCGCACGTTACATAGAAGTGGCTCGACGAAGAGCCGGGATATCTCGTGTAACTTTGAATACGCATGTATATGTCAGAACTATCCGCAATAGCTGCCGAAGACTGTTTCGAAGTTAGGACGGAACACACAATAGATATTTCGTATTCACCAACTCTCTCTGCTTTGTGCTGTAAGTGATTTTCGATCGTGTCGAGTGCTTATGTGTGTGTGTGTGCGCGCGCGCATGTGTCGCGCGATCTCACCTGTAGAATCCTCAGAGCCTCTCTATTGGACGTAGTGGAGTGAAGCGGATACGGTCTTTCCATGGTTAAGGTCTCCCAAGCGAGGATCCCAAGACTCCACCAGTCCACGGCGAATCCGTAGCCAAGGACGCCGTATTCCTCGCACGAGCACATGTAAATCTCGGGAGCTGGCGCAAATCCACGTTAAAGGGGAGAAACACGCGAAAGAAAAATGTACCGGTCGCGAAGACAGCCTTGGCTTAATGCGGATACAGAAGACAGATTTGGATCGTAACTCGATACAAGCAATGACGTTGTTTCGGTTGTCTCACAGCATCGTTCCTTCCGACTACTAACCGAGAGTACACACGCGTGTATTTGAAAACATTAATAAACGCGTCCCGATCATTTTCACTTTATTATGCATCGACACTGGAGCCGTGAAAGTATCAACTAAATTCTTTCTTAATTTAATAATTTATTTGTTCAAATGTGTTTTAACTTAACTAATTCACGATTGATTCGAAATCAATCGTCAATCGACCGAAATCAATGTAACTGATTGAATAGGAATCGAAGTAAATAATCTATACAGAGAAGACACACGAGGGAGATCACGGTGGTGAAACTATATTGTTCACACATACCTATATACGGTTTTGTTCCGGACATCGAAGTCGCCAGCTGGCCGTCTTCTAACACGGTTGCGATGTTGAAGTCCGTCACATGAGCATGGCCTGGACAAACAAACTTCATTAGGTCTCTAACTACGCTAGTGAATCACATTGAGGTGATGTTAGTGAATAAGAGTTTAATAAGAATATTTTGTGGCAATTTCTGTTTTATTTTTCAAAAATTACCTATCCTAGTATAAACGAAATTATGACAAGTCATTTCGTATCGACATAATATATATTTTTTGTTTGATTCGACATAACAGCACTCGTTATTTGCACATTCTCCTGCTTTTTAATTTAAAGAATATCTTATATATATATATATATATATATATATATATATATATATATATAATCCCTATATTTTATCCCTCGCATTTCACGATCTAATCAGGTTAATGACTAAGTAAGTGAAACCTGTTGTTTTTCCTTACATGTCTCGCGAGATATAACTTCGAAACGCGAGACAGCAATTACTCCCTACAACGCTAATTGATATTAGTTCGCGATTAATGGTTGAGTGCATAGTACAAACGCCAAATATTATGTATGATTAATAGCAAAAATGTATGGTTACTAGCAAAAATTCACAGAATATTATTATTACATAAAATTGAAGTAACACGTAATATAATGATTATTATACATTATTATTAACTATACAAGGTGTCTCACAATCACATAGATTTTTAATTATTAATTAAAAAAGATGAGTGCATTATCACGCAAAATCGTGCAATAATCTTCTTTAATTAATAATTAAAAATCTATGTGATTATTTAGAAAATGGTAGAGGACTTTTTTGTTCAATTTGACCTAAGGTATAAGTACACGGCGGCAGTCGTCGCTACTATAACTCATTTACCATATTCTGCATGATCATTTACAAGTTTTCTACAATTAATATCTGGATAATTATTGCGAATATCGCAAAACGGTATAAGACTTTTATGTTCACCTCAACCCGTCCCCACAAAATGTCCAGAGGAGAGTGTAAGACACTCTGTATATTCAGTATAGATAAGAGACATAGGAAAACTATTTAGAAGTGGATACACGTGCACACAGAGAAGGGCGATATTGTTTTTCCGTAGCAGCACATGATCGGCCCCTCGTGTGTGCCGCTCTATTCGCAATATTTATCCATTGTCGTTTACTAAATACCATAGGGTCCACGTTGATCACATAATGTGTGATGCAAGCTGATAGAGAGAGTTCTGATGCTACTGCAGACATATATTTCATCTATTCAATGTCACATAATCCCGCCATTGCAGTCACGTTTTGTGCTTTCGCGGCTGTTAGTTCGCGTATATCAAGAAGAATAGTTCACCCACTTTGTGAGGAACGAGGGAAAATAAAAATTTACGACCTCGTGCCGCGGGAACCGGCACCTGTCAGTTCCTAGTCATTTATCATTCCTCAATATTAACCGCCGATTGGCACGCAAACGTAAAAAAAAGACACGTACAATTCGCTTTTTTATGTACTATCATTTAACCAATACGAATAGGCTAAATTACTTTTTGGATTTCTATTTTTTTAATATAAAATTCCTCCAACTAAAACGCATTTAGTTGTATCTTTGTCACGTTAATTCAATTCAAATAAGAAAAATTTTTAAATCTATTATTTTATATATGACATTTATAGCTGAGCTACCTTGAATTTTATTTTCGCTTTATGTAAAAATTGAAAGTTTATATACGTAAAGTAAAAGTTGCAAACAACTTGTGAGAATATTAAGAGACCGCTAGAATACAATTTATATTTGATTTATTTAACGTTTTTTAAACGTCTTAAACGTCAATTAAACCTTAACTTGAGTTTAAGTCTTTATTTGAAGACAGTTTAAACTGAGATCAAGGCTTAATTGACGTTGATGAAATTGAGTATTAGAAGACTAATTTTAAAGAAAATTGCAAATTACGATTTGACTGCACATATTGGCGTATATTAAATTCCGTTTTTAAGAGTTAAAACTCTGTTTCCTTTAATTAAAATGATTTTAATTGCCATTGCTACTTTAATTCAATCAATCTTCTTTTCCTGTGTCTCTTTAGAAATTTCACCAAAGTAGAAATTATTAAATTGTTTGGAGCCACTAGTATTAATGCACATATCTCTAAGATTATGTGTCCGTTTGAAAGTTACTCTCTTGATAGTAGTTCTTGGTAGCAATTATTTCCGATGGAAACAGTCGAGAACTATTTTCAAGTCTGCGCTCCTTCTGGGAAGTTTTAACATCGACGGTCGTTTTCCGAGAGTAAAAAGGAAACTCTCGAGCGGGCATAGACTATAGGGAGACGACTTGTCCATAAATAATTTTAAAAAAGTGCCTTCAATCAGAATTCGCGTAAGAACGCTTGCTATGATTTCACGATGATAGATCATCAGATGTGCCTGAAACTCTTAATTTTACGTCACTCGCGCGAGAATTTAATCGTCGAATTAAGCTGAAATTTGCTGAATTACTTCCTTTCCCGCTGATATAGGACAATCGTGTGCGTAGTCGCTAGTCTAGATAAAATTAATGAAACGAATCGTGAATCGTAACGCGAGTCTTCGTTTCACATGAATGGTAGGAAAAGATATAATATCGCCTCCCCGCAATTTCTTCGCCTTTGTAATCATGCTTTGAGCTCTAATGAAAGCGTTCTCTAAACGATCCGCCTCTTCCCACGGAAGTGTATCAAAGTTCCTTCCACAGATAAGTTACCAGACAATAGATTGGAGTAGTCCGCCCTTTGAAATTCTTAACCACTTCATTGTACCACGTCATGTTAAGTTACTTTGCCTCCGCATTGACTCTCTTTCTCTCTTCTTCTCCCTCTCGACCGCGGAATCATGTTCACTGATTACACAATATAATTTTTAATAACAGCGATACACATACATAGGGTGGTCTCTCAAGTACATGGAAAAAATGCTAGAGGTGGTTCCTTTATATCAAAATATGAAAAAAATTCATATAAACATATATCTCAGAATGTTTCATTTCCCGGAGTATACTCCGGAATGTATAACTGAAAAGTATTTCTTCATTCATCAAGCTAGGATTAAAGAACGGTTTTAGGTTTCTCGACTCGTTTCAGCGAAGCTCGCTTTTCATTCTCGACCGATCTGCAAGCTTGATTGCCATCCTCGCGGAGTACACAAGTCGAACAATCTTGGCGCCCTGACGCGTCGCTCGATTGCGGCACAGTGTCTGGATTTATAGAGAAAATGGCATTTTGTGGTGTTTTCCCGGGGCGATATTTTGCTCGAGGCTCACGACGAGGTCCTATGCGCTAGATGGGACACGAAAGCAAAACGATAAGCGGAACACCGGTGTGTAATTTTAAATGATGCAGAAGCAATCTCGGGATTCAAACAGCCGTCGGCCAGGTGCAGGAGGAAATTAGGGATAACTCACCCTCCTGGACTTCCTTCTCTACTTTTCGCCCTATCGTTCTACGACTCTACGGGATCATAAATGTACGTTCGTATGTACACCCGCGCCCCTACCCCCCTCTTGCTTCGCCCCGAGGGGCGCTGCCTACGAAATACGCCGTCGTCTCTCGGTCTATTTCTCTATTAAAGCGGATCCGACCTTCGAAAGGGGTGAGTCGAGGCCTCCGGCACGCACAACCCTTTCGCCTTTTCATCCCCATGGTTATCTTTATCTATCTCCGCCCTTGTAATTTCAAAGGCGTATCATATCCAGCATTGTTCTTTTATCCAGCTTGTCATCGTCGTCAACTGCGAGCCGAATTTCCGAAAGATCGATAAGTCAGTCACAAAAATGGAATTTAATAAGAGGACTTCTTTTGCTCTTTATTAAAGGGCTCTTTACCTTCAGATATCCGAAAAAAATTTATTATTAAAGAGTTTTGCGAAGAACTCTGCAACATCAAATTAAATCACTAATTTGTAACTTGATATAATTATTATATGCTAGTAAATACAAAGGAATATTAAAAAATATAATAGTTGTTTGGAAGTGTCTTATGTAAAACTTGATTAAATGAGTTTTTTTAAATCATATTTTCAAAATCAACGCTTAAGATTTCTTGGAAACTAATTTCGTGTAAATATTCTGGTTAACGAATCTGTCTTCCCAATGATACTTTTTACATGTTATTTGGCATAGTTATTTGACCTCGATAACATTGAGGTCGTTGGGAAGAGAGATTAGTTAATCAGAATATTTGCACTAAATTAGTCTCTGAGAAATCTTAAGCGTTGATTTTGAAAACATGATTTAAAAAACTTTTAGAATGTAAAATATTTTTAGGAAACAAAAAGCCTGCAATCTCGCAGCAGTCCGATCTTTCTTATCGTAGGCACTGCTCGTTCGTTCGTTCCAATCGACTAACAAATTCAGTCGTACGTCATGCAAATCCCAGAAAGCTAAGAATCTCGGAAGCCCGAGACGTGCCTGCATTATTTACCATTGTACTCAATATTCGTTCGGCTTCACCTGCTTCTCCGATAATCTTGTGCGGATCACCATATTTGAACGATATTTATAAATCGTTATTATCCAGAAAGAGAGAGGGAGAGAGAGGGCCATCTAATCATAATTTCATAATCGTACATAATTTCTAAATCGTAATAACCGCAGGGAGAGGCAACATTTTGCGCGTTTATAAACGCGGAGGGGAGAAATCACGTCGCTCCGAGGGCTTTTCGAGACAACATGCGGGATATTGGAAATCCTGGCGGCAGTATCGGTGACGAGGAATAAAATCCAACCGGCGAGAAACATCAAATTTCGAGTGCTCGAATGCAGCACAGAAAATCTCGTCGATGGCCGGCTCTGAAAATTCCAATTCGCACATCCTTTTGACAAAAACGGAAAATCTCACCCCTTCCTCGCCACTGCGATACCGTCGCGGCTGATCTCGTCTGCTGCGTACGTGCGTCGTTATCGGTATGCACTTCAACAATTAGCTAAATGCGCGCTGGGATTAAAGCGGAAGGTTGGGAACGGACGGCGCGAAACGCAACGAGTCAATTCCGCTAAAACCCACCGATGGCTTTTCCGGCAGCTCAATAACGTTCCGCGAATTCGCTTGTAAATTCGTCCGTTGCGCGCGCGCGCGCGAACGCGACGAGATTTACTTGGTCGACGATAATTCGATATTCCGATCTTGCTCGCGCCTCGCGGGTAATCAAATCACGTTCGATTAGTACGTTTGTCCGCGGCAGCACCTGTATTGAAACTAAACGCCATTGGAGCCATCGTTTCATATGTAAACGAGGGTACGACGCGAGCTCGGCTGCGGCTTAATGCCGGGTGTTTAAAGCTTCACGATGTGATGATCAAATCCGCTTGATGAACATTGACAATGCTTTCATATTGCACATGCGGAAGACCAATGCGTCGAGTAGTGACAGCAGTATCCGGTCGTGAATAAGAGTTTCGATGAATGTAATTCCGATGCCGAAAAATATTCAGAAGCCTTAAAAGTGATAGTCGTAAATTATTTGCAATTTCCAATAATTATGTAATTGTAGATTGGTATTCATGGACCGTTATGCGGATTAATTCATTAGGATTAATATTTGTTGCATGAAATAAATGTAGATTGACGAGTAATTAGAGATTCGCGAAGCAGACCATGAGTATTTGTCAAATAATGATGGACTATATGTATCGGCCTTAAATGTGAGTTATTTGCCATTTTTTATGAAGAGCACGATTAACTGTAGATTTGTATTTGTGGGACGCTATTCAGTTGCTTGGATCAATATTTCTTATACGAAAGAAACACGAATCGACAAATAATTGGAGACTCATGAAGCTATAATTATTATATTTGTCAAATATAGTCAGATTCTATATATTGAGAGAAAAAATTTCTAAAAAATAAGAATATTTATTCAATAGATACTAATCACACACACACACACACACACACACACACACACACACACACACACACACACACACACACACACACACACACACACACACACACACACACACACACACACACACACACACACACACACACACACACACACACACACACACACACACACACACACACACACACACACACACACACACACACACACACACACACACACACACACACACACACACACACACACACACACACACACACACACACACACACACACACACACACACACACACACACACACACACACACACACACACACACACACACACACACACACACACACACACACACACACACACACACACACACACACACACACACACACACACACACACACACACACACACACACACACACACACACACACACACACACACACACACACACACACACACACACACACACACACACACACACACACACACACACACACACACACACACACACACACACACACACACACACACACACACACACACACACACACACACACATACACGCACACACACAGGCCTGTATAATAGAGAGTCTTAAGATATTGAGCAAACGAAATATTTTCGTAGATAATTTTGTGAGATTAATTTATTATATATATATGTTATATATATATAAATTTTATAATATAATATTTCTTTTATAAAATATGTATCTTTGATATCATTCGCGCTTGCGAGAATGTTGAAATAGCGTGTCTTATAAAGAATTTATAACGCTTTCGCGAAAGTTTCATTCCCGGCGCAATTTACGTCTCGTTCGCGGATTACGCGCGTTTGTTGGAACTTCTTCACTTGGCCTCTTATAATATTCTGTAACGTCGATAATCTTGTTCTCGTACCTTCGCTTGACTCTCGCACGCGCACACCTCTGGCCGCATTCAAAGCTTTGTAACGTGCGTGCATTCACCGCTAAACGCGATTACTCGAGGCTCGTCTCATATTTGCATGGGGAATATGAGTTTTGCTTTGTATCAAGTGAAATTCAAGATCAGTTGCCTGCGGATTGAGCTACTGCAAAGCGCGCAGTAGAGATGGTTTATCAGATAAATTGTTTACCGAGGAACATATCTTTAAAGGAACTTTCGTGATATCCTTCTCACCACGGTTTAACGTTTTATTAGGAAGTTAGGTGGCTTTCTCCCTTTCTCTTATTAAATTAATAGTAAAGCTTTATGGCTCGACGATTCTCTTTACGACCAGGCGACACAAAGAACACAAAGAAGAAGAGGGACAACTCGGGACATCTCGCTCTCGAGAGAATCAAGTTCTTATAACAGGATTAGAATAATTCTAATTAGTGCGTTAAAGATAAGAGCTCAAAATGTGCGAATTAATGTTAAGTAAAAATGCTTACCCTCCTCGTCCAGCAGTATATTGTCCGGTTTGATGTCCCGATGGATAATCCTGTGAGTCTGCAGGTAATCGAGCGCCAGCGCGATTTCGGCCACGAATAGTACGACGCTCTCTTCACTGAACACAATCTCCTGCTGAATGTGGTATCTCAGATCGCCACCCAAAAGTAAATCCGATACCATAAAGAGATCCTCCTCGTCTGTAACACGATGATGCATCTCGAGTGAATCTGTTCCTTGAGGGGATTCCTAATTGTATTAGATCTCGTAGTTTCCTCAAATTTTTCCTATTTAGCTTCACAGAATTTGCAAATACCTGTACAGTATGTATGTTAATATATCTTGGTATCATTTGTGTTTCACGAAATACAAGAAACAATTTTATAATTATCATTTCATATGGAATATTTAATAAAATAATGTAAACAAAGGAAACATTTATTAGTTTCCGAAGTGTCCTACAACTTTTATTTGTAACTTTTAAAATATTTGGTAACTTTTAAATAAACGATAAATAAACGATTATAAATTAGCGATGCGGTTGAAAATGACGTCGTAAAATCGCGGGCATAAATTTAATACTTTAAGAAGGAAGATTTGATCGACGAAAATTCGTAGGCACAAAAATGAGGGAGCGAGCGAGTGAGTGAAGCGAATCCTTCAAACGACTCGCATGTACCGTGTCAATATTAACGTGGTCGTTAAACAAACATCCATATTCGCCAGGCGAAATTACAACGATCTTATTATTTACTGTTTTACCTCACGCACATTACTGTATCGCCCGTTCCCGATAACGTGGTCAATATAAATATTTACAGCGTAATATACCGACGCTGCCAATTTGTTGGAATACAGACCTGGGAAAAGCTTACGTTCGAAACAGTCGGAAAATTAAAGTACGAAGCTCGCGCTAGTAGAAAATGCAACGCTATCTTTCATTTCTATCTCTCCACGTGTCCTTTGGCTGTCGCCTCATATATTTTTTTATTAAACATCCTTAGCGCCGGATGATGTGTTCTATATAAAATTCTCGATTTGAAGTAAAAAATGCATAACGGCGCGATATGAAAAGTAATAATATCCTGACATGAAAACTTAATTATATTCTGTCGTCAATCCAATCATAATCTTAACTCAATTTTAACATTCTTTTGATGAGAGTTATTTGGGGCTTTAATTGCTCCTAGGTAGTCAGCCGAGAACTCCGCGTTGACGATAGTGACATGGTTGTAAACAGCAAAATGATGAGCTATTAGGTAAGAAAATAGGTCTATTTGTTTCCAGAGAATTTCTGCACTAGTGCAGATTATTGCAATAAGACAGAGAGAGAGAGAGAGAGAGAGAGAGAGAGAGAGAGAGAGAG